TGTTGAACTTCATTCCGAGGAGGTTCAGGTTCAGGCTTGTCACCATTTGCATCTCCATTGGCCTTTGGATGATGGTCAGTCTGATTATGAGCAGGTGTGGGAGTAGCGCCTCTGGAACTGACACTCTTCTCCCTTGTTTTCTTCTCCTTTTGTTCTTTGGCACTCGAATGTAGCTCCGTCGCGGCAGCAGGTTGATTATGACTGTGAGTCTGAGATTTCCTTCTAGGTGGTGAACTTGATGAATTCTTACTGGATAAATTAGGGAACGGTTCTCTGGCAGGGAGGGGGTTAGCACATGGGGCAGTGGCGGACGGTTTAGGGACCTCTGGAACGTTCGTACTTGGTACGGTCGTTTGGGGAACTGACACCTGTGTGACGGTGGGTGAAGCACTCGTACTTTTCACCTCATCCTCCGTTACAGTGATCGCGGATAACTGCGCAGAAATATCATCCTTGTTTAAATTACGTGGAGCAGCAGGTGGTGGTGGTTCCTCAATGACTACACTTTTTATCTCGCCACGAGGTTGAAACTCCTTGACAGGAATTTGGAGTGGTTTAGACTCTGTTTTTACCGCACTAGAGTCTACTTGAGCCACGTTACTAGCAGTACCTAATGCCGAGTGACTATACAACGCGGTTACGGTAGGTATATTTTGCGTTGACGAGCTAGTATTACACTGACTGTTCGCATCGTTACTAGAACTCGTTTGAGAACTTGATAAACTCTGCGTTAGATTCTGAGTGGTGGTTGTGTTTGGTACAATACTAGTCGGTACCGTCGAGTCGGAATTAGACTCTTCGGTCGCGACTTTCACTAGCGTTTTTGCAACCCGCGCCGCAAAATCGGCTTGCACCTCAGCGTCATTGTTCTGTAACAATCACCAATTCTGCGTGATAGACAATGATACAGAGCGATCGAATTAAGGATTATGCTTGACAACTAAAAACTGGCTCCAAACTCAAATCATAGGACGAGAAATGAAACCAAATGTACTAGGAAACATAAAAGAAACGTTCAATACGTTATACGCATCTGTTGTCGTCCAGCCATGGCCCTTAAAATGTATATGTGCAGAATTGTTCTCTATCCTGCAAATATACAAGATGTTGCATAATAAGAAGTAGAATACAAGAAGTGATCATTTTTTTTATGAAGGAGAACTAGTACGAACAAAAATGTACGAAATAAATTTCTTTAGTGCAAAACTGAAAGCTAGTGACATTAAGCTTCGCTCTTGTGGAACACTGATAAGAGAACAAAATCAATTATGATTATACAACAATGACACGTGAGTATTCAAGTTTAATGCCAGAATATTAATAAAAAAAATCATAGGTGTGTTTTTCTAGCCAAATGTAGAAAATGAAAATATTACGGTGACCATGGCTGTTCAGTACAGACACCAATAACAAACAATTGACTAAAAGAGAACGTTAATAATATATCTTTGATCCCACTTCTCGAAAAATCTGAGACAGATCGTCATATGACACGGATTTTGAAATCCAGTCAGGATGAATCTCTCGTAGTCAATTGTTAATAAACTAATAATCCAACATAACTCACCTGTGGCTGTGGTGTCTCTCGATTACTAGATTCACCACTAGGAATTGTTTCATTATCCTTGTAAATTTCGTGACTAATATTTTTCCCAGTCGAAGGATCTACAATATCAGTAATAGCGTTTTGTCCTCTTGGTTTCCGAGATTTTATCGTACTATTCGCCGTGTTTGTTGCACCACCATTATGGCCTGAGTACACGTCTATAATACACGAATTATAATTAATTTGTAACATATAAAAACAGAACACCTTGCTAGTTTAAATCAATAGTACTATAATGCTTAATAAATGAACACGTTACTACTCAAACTTTTGTTCATTTAATGAAACACTCACCACCATACATTTGATACACATTATCTACAATGAACATTGCACTAAAAACTACTATGGAGAGATGTAACTATAGAGATATGTTTTCTGTTCGCTTGGTCACGAGGAACTGAATGTACTGTAAAAATTTTGACAGCAAGATTCCTGTGAATGGACACGGAAATTTACCTGACTCTTCATACCTGATCATAGGGGTATGGGTCATAGACAGGTAAAGACCCTTTTAAAGGGGAAATTCTAATCCTGAAATTCTAGCTTTTAAAATCTCTACTATCACCGGAAGTTCCAAGTCATAAATTATTCTTTAGTACTTTTAGACTTTAGAGGAATTAAGAGGTTCCTGAGAAGTGAGGACTTTGTTTTCACAGGATTTTTATGAGGTTCAGTACTTCATAAACTATACAAAAATGATTCAGTCCCTATACTTTTATCTAATAGTAAACTGCAATAATCCTGCAATGTCAGCACATTTTAGAGGGGCGGTCGCGTTTTTTCGTTACACTACCTAAGAAAAAGGGCCAGCCTATCCCTTCGTAGGATTAAATTGAGGATTAAATTCAGTTTATCTGTTTGCCTTCCTTCTGATTGTATATTTTTGTCTTTTACAAACACAAGAATAATGAATTCTCGATTAGATTTTAGTTACAAATTTATGAGTCATTTGTTTAATCGAGGTTACAACATGAAGGAAATAAGTATACCGTACAATTTACAACAACCGTTGAGGATTTTATGGGAAATATGTTATCGAGTGTTTTAAAATATTTATTTCTTCGCGAAAGTTGTTGTATCATGACTGTACTTGTATTTTGAATTGTTTAAAACTTACCAGTCTGAGAAAGAGATATACCCATTGCAGGTAAAGGCTGAGCCTGTTGTGTAGGTTGCTGAAGTGTACCTTGAGGTACAACTGGGGCTCCTTGGGCTCCGGCCAGCGGGCCTCCAACATGTTGTGCCCCACCAGTGACAGCACTTGCACCTGCTCTACTTAAACTTAATGGTGTATTCGCAGGCTGTCCAGGCCAAAAATCTATAAAATAAATGAGATAAATAGTATTATGTTCGTTGTAACTACACAATCATGCTACAATTTTATAATACTTACAAGGTTGAGGAGTTGGTGGAGGCGCACCATATCCAAACATGTGTTGCGTTGTAAGAATAGCTGAATTTTGAAACGGTGTAAAATATGACTGATTTTGATGTGTTTGATGCCTCTGGGGCGGACCTCCAAACTAAAATCACAACAGAACTTATCACACTTATGATCACTAATAATACAAGCAATGATCGTGATAAATCGTTGCAAATAAACAATAGTTCAATCATAAAAGAACTCAATAAAATATCTGTTCAAAAGTAAAGCTTTATTATGCTATCTTTCTATCTTTTTTTCTGTTGAACGAACAAAATGAATGGTGCGTGACAATAAATATGTAACATCAACAGTACTTAACTAGTACCTGAAGGGGTATTTGACTGTTCATGGGGTATACGGACTGCTGATGTGGGCCAGGATGAATATTTTGGACTTGGTACATTGCTCCGGTTTGAACTGGCAAACCACTAGGATGAAATATTGCTGTTGGTTGACCTCCACCTCCGCCAACACCTGACATTCCCACTACCTGTGCACCGGTACCTCCTTGACCTCCCCTATGGCTAATACCTCTTGGTTGCTGCGGTCTTGCACCTTGTTGGTAATAACCCTGGAATTCACATTAGAAACATATTCATAAAATTCACATACATTTGGGATGCAATAACATTGTTAATTATATCCATAGAATCTAATACATTTTTAAACTCAATAGTTGAACATTAAATGTTGAATATACTCTAAACAAATTTCACAAAGTATTTCAAGGAAAAAAAATTGTGCATTGTCCAGGCAAAGTGAGCTTACTTGAGAGGTCGGCCTTGTTTGTGTAGGCCCATATACTTGTGATAGAGGCTGAGGTTGAGGTTGTAAATGAGCCTGTTTTCCCATTTCCTGAGGCGATGGGGTGTGCACGGGGGGTGTGGTAGTCGGTGCCGGACCTTGCGGCTGTTGTGATTGTACTCCGGGTGCCGGAGTTTGAGGTGGTGCTTGCCCTCCAGCAGGACCTCCTGGCGGTATACCTGCTGCCGATTGTCCTATGGATTGCAAACCGCCGAGTGGTGGAGGTCCTCTGCCCCCAGGTACTCCTACGCTACCCCCTCCCCCGCCCACCTGGCCCCCTGGTTGGGTGCCGTAATTTTGTCCAGACACATGAAAGTCTGATCCTGAAATAATAAATAATAACAATTGATTATTGGTCAGACAAAACAGAACTTTGAGGGAACAAATTTCAAATACTATTTAAAAAAGACACAATGTACTGAAACTTTGACAACCAAAGTATTTTTTTTTTCTAATAAATTGAGACAAAATAAAATACTTTAATTGTATATTTGAAATGTGCATTTAAAATATATCTTGGCAGTATATAATTCTTGCAAATAACCTACTTATCTTGAATAATATGTTAAAGACTTATTAGCAATGAACCTGATGTACAAGTGAGATTAATTAGTGCATTCAGTATTTAATATTCACGTAATTTTCAATATTTCTACAGCAATTTTATAACTATGGCCTGACATTGTCAATAAATTCATTATTTTTGCTTGTTCGCGTGTTCTCATAAGAATGACCATAAACTAAAGTTATTTATCGACGCATTTATGAAGTTCTGTCTTGGACTTTCTTCATCTTTCAGTGGAAATACCGTTCCTTATTAATTCTCTAACTGCACCGGGAAGAATGGCGTGCAATGCAAGGTTCGCCCCTGCGTTGTACAACAGAAAATACCATTTCGTTTCCTATCTATGGCATCCCCAATCGAATATAATATTTTTTATTCAGGCTAATTTTCTAAAGACCGCACACATCAGCCAATTGTCGCTTATACGAACGTACAATACAATTCGTAACGATTACAAGTATAAAAATTTTCTCGCGTACTCAAGGTCACTTTGAAGTTATCGTGAGCCGATTGTTCAACAAGTACTCATACCAACGAGACGCATACATTTTCTACGTGACAACATTGTTGTTACGAAATTGCGAATGTTCCACATTCGTTTCGCGCAATACAATAAACCTAGCTAAATAACGGTTACTATGACGTACTTTATTGGCTTTACTTGAAAAGAATTTTAAAAATAAATAAAATGTTCATTCTTCCAAAAAAAAGAAAAAAAAAGAAGAAAGGGAGACCCTCCCAAAAGTATACAGCAGAAGAATGGAAGCACAATTTGCTCGGGAGTCGTATACGATTTACACCTGACACGAAACGAAAAATATGGGAATAAAAATGACAGCACCATATTGCCTTTAAACATATTTAGCGTATAAACATAAGGTTCGCGTACCGCGTGCATTTCGTACACGCCTGAGGTAACCATTCAACGGAATACCATGAACGATTGTTACGCAGCACGTAATGACAATAATGTGCCCATTCTTCATTATCGTAGCTCATCTCACGCGTAGCACGTATACACCTTTCTAACAAAGAAAGGGAAAAAAACTGTACCCTGTTGCGCCGTCAGATTCGCATATGCGTGGATATTTCGTTGGCGTGTTGCATACCCGCTGTCCGTGGTCGTTAAACGAATTACTCGTGAAAGCGATTATACGCGTGGAATTGCACGACATCGCTTGACACGTCGTCGCTGTCTCGAGGAGATGCAAAGAGTGCGATCGGTTTCCACCGAGTATTATCGAAATATACCTTGTCGTCGGAATCCGCCGTGCACTTCTCTCCCGAAACGGGTTCACGGGTATCACGCGTGTGCAGAGAACGAGAGATTCCACGGGGAACACGAAAACCATTTTTTCCCCTTTGCCACATGCCGCAGAACTTTATCACGGGGGGAAAAATACGGTGAGAGAACAGAGAG